ATATTTAAGATATATAATCGCTAACATACCAACCTATTGGAATTCTAGTGATTTGACATGGTGCAGACTTCTAGAATTAAAAGAATATATTTGCATACTTGAAGCTAATTTAGCAAAAGATCCTAATTAAGATAGTAACAAAGATTTTCAACAATTAACTAAAGTGATGTTAACAAATAAGAATAGGATTTGCTTAGTGATTTAATTTTAGTTTTAGGTCCTTTTGAAGAAGCAACTAGATATCTTGATGGTAGTAACTATGCTACTTACAGTATAATAAATCTTTTATTATCTGAAATTGTTAAAATGCTTAAACCTATATTCTTAACAAATAAAACAAATAAAACAAATGAGATAAATATTGAAAAAATCGAAGATATTTTTGTGGAACTTGATGAACAAGATACAGACAAACAAAAAAAATAGATCTAGATAAACCAATACAAACTTCAAATGTATTAGAAAAAGTAAAAGAAACATTATATCATGCAATGCTTTTTTATTGGAAAAATGATAATATATTATATTTGCTTTCTATTTTCGATATATGTGTTCATATTATATTTGCTTTTTATTTTCAATACATGTATTAAAAGGTTAGAATTTGTACTTGATAAAATAGACAAGATTCAAGAATTATTAAAAAATAAATATCATGATATTAAGAATAGTTCAATAGTAAATCTAATTATAGCTTCAACAACTACAATATCAGTATAAAATTTATCAAATATATGTTTTTTTTTTAATTCTACACTAATTTCTCTTTACAAACCTATACTTTTTAATATATTTAATAATTTACTAATGGTTAATTTACAGAGTGAACTTGATAAATATCTTGTGGCTCTACAAATATCTATTAATTCTAATCTATTTGTATGGTAGAAGGCTAATAAAGAAAAGTTTTCTGTAATAAGTTAATTAGCATGTATATATCTTTCTGTTTTTGCTACTTTAATATCATTTGAAAGGTTATTTTCAAACTATAAAAATATTATAGGCTCTAAGTGAACTCATATAAGTTCAGAATTTTTTAAAAGACTAGTATTTCTAAAAAAAAATTATGATATTTTAAATAGTATTCATCTATTATCATAATAGTGAAATTAAAATTTTGGATTGTTATAAATTAAATCTCCAAAAATCTATTATTTTTTTGTTTAATAATTTATATTAAAAGTCCTAAATTCATGATATATACATCAGCAAATTTAATGAGATGAAATATTTCGAAATAATTTACGAAACGTAAAAAAA